GGCGCCATGTTTTACATACACCTACGCTGTGTGGGGTCTCGAACTGGCGAGCACAACGCCACGCTCTTGGAGTGAACGGACACAGAAGACGCGGTCGGTACAAACCAAACAACATACATAGATTTATTTAACTAATTTACAAGGACGATATTGTCCGCCGAATCGATACATCAATCGTGATGCAACACCCTAGACAACCTAACACACAATTTCCATACGCCCTGAAACATGACAAACACAATAACACGACAAACACACAATAACATACCCAAGGCGGCGTCGCCAACGCTTGACTTACCACATGGTCCCCAGGCGCGCAGGCCGCGGTACCACGCGCCGAGGACCCACGCTAGAGACAACCGTTCGCGGCAACCGCCACGCGCAGAAGAAAGCCGCTCAACTCTCGCCCACAACCAAGGCTTACCTCCGCCAGGGGTCACCGCCGGCGCCACACCATTATGATGATGACGATAGTGGTGGCCAACTCTCGCGAACACAACGCCATATACCGCTTGATGGTTGTCACACCGAAATGTGGCTTTTGGGTAAGACATGTGCGCCACGTAGCGCAAACAACCTTACAGGGCGTATCAGCACCCCCACAGCAATCATCGTAACGTTAAATCTGAAAGATAGCAAGCGTACAGTAAACGGTACAAGTAACAATTGTATCTGCGCGTGCGCACTTCGATTGCACTATCACTTCGATTGCACTATCACTTCGATTCCGCTTTCCCAGACAGGCTTCTCTGGAAAAACAAACCGTTATGGAGTGCGCTGTTACCGCTGCCGTGAATGACGGCACATAGCAAAAGAATGCACCGTATGCAGGCCTCCTGTGACGCAGGGAAACGTGTTTGCTGGTCGTTCATGAATGCAGGAGTGACCGAACCACTCTGCGCCACTCTGCGATCGCCACTCTGCGACGCGACATCAGACAACATTGACAAATTTTGGAATTCTGACATGCCTGTTATCCTACGTGTGGAGGATTGTCAGTAGTTGCTCGCGTCCACAAAACTAGCCGCATTGCCAAATTCGTTACGTTGGGTGCTAGATGTAGGGGGTTCATCCTATATTTGGCTGACGCAGAAGCCTAGCTAATGTTCCACCGCACACAGTCGTACCGTGCATAGTTGACATCCCCTATCGATAGCTAGTCTCATTGCAGCTACACGGGTTCGGGCGAGTAAGGCAACAGGCTAGGTCAACAACAACACTTTATTGCTAGGTGTTATTAAGCAATAGCGTGCAAATGTCACGAGGAGATAGTACAGAGACGAGTAGACGCTTACTCCTTGGTTGTTGACGTTCTCGGCTCGCAGTGGGTTGCGGGTTCAAACTCCTTCTTTCTTGGCTGGTGTCAGAGAGCGTGCGGCCTTCTGCACTCTAGTTTTGTCCACTGACCTGGTTTTTCTCTCCTTGACGAGAGCAAAAGCTTTTTTGCTGAGGGAGAGGAAACCCGTTCCGCATGCTGGAAAAGGGGAATCGCCGGGGGGGGGGGGGGGGGGGGGGGTGTTCCCGCAACTAGACTTTCGTGCTGCTGTAAAAATGGAAAGGGAGGCCGGGCGCACATGCTCCACAAGTTTTGCGGCTCAACAATCACTTATAATAATATAGTCACACTAGAGCAGCAAGCAAGCATATGCTCAATCGGATTATGACGGTACGCTGCGCTCAAACACAACGAGGAGGGCCTACAGACCAATGCTCAAAGTCATCACTAACCTTAACTTTGCTGACAGCGAGACCAAGCTAGAAATATGCCTCTTCTGCTCAAGCAACGATGCATATCGCTTGCCATATCTTCAGAACCGTGTATGGGCATTTTATGCATCGGCAGAGGACACCACAGTCAAGCTAGTGAGACCCCACAGCCAAGTATTGCTCAGAGCGGCGGCTAGCAAGCTTGAACATCGGCACTCAGAAATGCTAGACCAAGCATATTGCGAGCCGATTTTTTGTCATCGTAGCTACACATTTCACACATTGTCATGGAACATGGGCACTAAGCACGTCACGGGCTGGCTTCACAGACTCTGCAGCCGAGCACTTCTTGTTCAAATAAAGTGATGCAATTTGCATGTGCTTGGAGCCACGCTTGGTATCGCTGCAAGCATCTATGAATGTTCTAAAACAATTAAAGGCTCGTAGATTAACGCTATCGTCAGCAGCTGCATGATGATCTGTTTGACAGGCCAAAGTAACAAAAGAAGCGTGTATAAAGCAGCGGTAGGAATGCTTATCTGCCCAACTGGTGTCGTTAAATAAACTGCAAAAAAAATTCCTGTGCCACCAATGTCTTGGCCATACCTATTTGTTATATGTAAAGAAGGCATAAGCTATCATGGTGCGAGCCATTTTCTGTCACAATAAACATTTCCCTGTACAGTCGAGCTTACATATAACGGCCCTACCTAAAACAAACTTTTGCTTAAAATATATGATACCCACGTGACTAAGACCACAGGCGAGGTGCCCATAGATTTTTATTGTTTACCGCTGACCCTTCCTCCACAGCCCTTTATTTGTCGCTCTCACCGACCGTTTTCTTTATCTTTAACGCACCTGTACGAGTACTTTGAGCACCCCGCATCACCAGGGAAGGCCCTCGTTTTCTCATAGCCACCGATCTTTCGAAGACCGGTCGGCCAAACTAGGGGTTTTGATGCCTGGTGTTTTTTTGTTGGCGTCGCCGGTCTGGGGTGACCAGAGCATTTGCCATAACCGTTGACCGCCGACTGTACCCGATTGTCGTATCATTGCAGTGCACACGCTTGTGCTACCCAACGGGCTTTGATGATTCACGATTCGCTCTGTGTTTAGGACGTGTTCTCGCTCACTTCGCACTCGGCTCAGCATGCCCTGCGCATGTGTTCTGAAGCATAAAAATGACTTTTACATGAAACAAATCGTGAATTATCAAAGTCGGTCAGGCCGCACAAGTCCCCTCGTGATTACGGAGTTAGACAAGGAGAGCAGAAAGGTGGGTCTTAAAATTAATCTGCAGAAAACGAAAGTAATGTACAACAACCTCGGCAAGGAGCAGCGCTTCGAGATAGATAATAATGTACTTGAAGTTGTAAAAAACTATGTCTACTTAGGGCAGGTAATAACCGCAGAGCCGAACCACGAGATAGAAGTAACTAGAAGAATAAGAATGGGGTGGAGCACATTCGGCAAGCACTCTCAAATTATGACAGGTAGATTGCCACTATCCCTCAAGAGGAAGGTATATAACAGTTGTATCTTGCCGGTACTTAGCTACGGAGCAGAAACCTGGAGACTTACAAAGAGGGTTCAGCTTAAATTGAGGACGACGCAGCGAGCAATGGAAAGAAAAATAATAGGTGTAACCTCAAGAGACAAGAAAAGAGCAGAGTGGATTAGGGGACAAACGGGGGTTAAGGATATCATAGTTAAAATAAAGAAGAGGAAATGGACATGGGCCGGGCATGTAGCGCGTAGACAGGATAACCGCTGGTCATTAAGGCTAACTAACTGGATTCCCAGAGAAGGGAAGCGGGTTAGGGTGAGACAGAAGGTTAGGTGAGCAGATAAGATTAAGAAGTTTGCGGGTATAAATTGGCAGCAGCAAGCACAGGACCGGGTTAACTGGCCGAACATGGGAGAGGCCTTTGTCCTGCAGTGGACGTAGTCAAGCTGATGATGATGAAATGTAGCAGGTGGGTAATGTAATGTGCTCACCACAAAAGAAACCAACACTGTGCATTTTTTGAAACTCGCAAAAGGCAAGAGTAGGAGGATGAGAAACTGAAAAAGAAATGTTGCATGGAAGAAAAGGTCGCAATTTTAAGAAAGAAGAAAGAGAAACTAGAAGCCGCTCTGAGTAACTAACAGCTACAACAGACTTGTATGCCAAAAAGGTAGGGGCAACTAGCGACTTGACATGCATCATCAAGTCAAACACCCTTGGGAAGACTTGCCAAGACGAAGCAGCAGAAGACAGTGGACATTCATACGAAAATTCAGAAAAAGTGATTACTGGAATACTGAAAGAGATTATTTATGCCACTCCAAGGAACTTTGATCGAAAATTCTTGAGAAAGAAAACGTAATTGCAGCCATGTTTTTGATGTCTTCTCCAGCGATGTTACCAGTTTTTGATGAATTTTACCCGTTTTGATGATGAAATGCTTTCAAGCCTCCATCCTCTCCTGAAATATGTTAATTGGTTTTCTGACCGACAGTTGGTTCCTTGAAAATTTACAGACATAACCCTAAATGTCCTTGAAAGTCCTTAAATTTGTTCATGTAAACGAGCATGAACGCTGTTTAAATGCAGTTTTCTCAGTACTGAAATATGGAGAAAAAAAGGGGGGAGGCATGAAATCAGGCATCACGAAAAACACCAAGAACTATGATCTCATGCATTTAAGATAAGTGGAGGGTGACTTTGACTTTTTTGGGTGATTCAATAAATAAGAATAATAAAGACAAAATAACAATGAATCATTCCCAAAATATACCCAATTACGCAATATTCATTTGATACCCCCACCACTGTCCGACGCATTTACTCGAGTTCCCGCCTTGGTGTGGAGATAGGGGCGGCATTTTTCTTTTCTTGATCCTCGCTTCAATTAACATAAGAGGGCATCGAATTGCAACTGTGCAAACACTGTACAGAACTTCTGATTATGGCCAAGTTCGGGGTGCACCTATTATGTGAGTAAATACGGTATAAGAAGTTTGTGCCTGTTCATGTCTGCATCGTTCATTGTTTTCCAAGAAATATTGCTAGAGATGTAGTTGACCATAGCATAAATAGTTGAGTGCTGGGGCAGATTTTCACTCCCACCCACTTGCCACACATGGCCATCGAAATGCAAACCCAATACGCGTCAACAATATCTCTTCCACAAGCTATCAGTGCCCGCTGAACAAATCACCGTCAGCTGAGTGTCATTGATTATTGAACTGGTTGCTCTTTTATTTTCTAAATAAGATAATAAGTAAGTTTTGTGGACCTGACCCAGGAGGAGATCGACATCGAGCTCCCGTCCTCCTCTGAAGTGCTGGACGGGGGCGTTGCGGGCCGTGCACGCCAGAACCTGCAGCAGTTGGTGCAGCGACAGGGCCGCTTCCTGGAGGGACTGCGGGAGCTACGCTTGGGGGCCTTCCTGAATGCCACGGTGCAGCTGTGCCACCTGGACACGCCACTGGCCCAGCACCTGTGGCAGCAGCTGATGCCCCGCCTCTGGAAGGTGCTCAGTGAGCGGCAGCAGAGCGTGAGTGCACCCATTTACAGTGCAACCCCTGGTCTTGTTTGCTTCATGCACTTTGGCCCTCCACCTCTAAAGGTGGCTGACCCCAGCTGTGTGTCTAATGCTCACCGAATCAAAACACTGCTGCTGTTTAAAGGGGGGCAGTTGTGATCATAGATAGCATGACTGACCTAGATTAGAAGGCGTGTGTGTAGTCAGGGCACTCTTATTGAAAATGGAACTACCGTTTGCCGGAACTGCTGCAGCCACCATCAATGCGATCGTGGATTGCGACAATACGCTCTGAAGGTACACACAGGGGTGCAACAGATGCCCCAATATCGCCAATTTGATACTATTTTCAATTGTTGCGCCAAGCTGTGCCAAAACCGTGAAATTTGCTGAAATTGCACCATGCTGTGCCAAATGCCGAGCCAGCTTTTAAATTTTCGATGGTGCGCTAATTTCGGCAAGAAATGCAGGCCACGTCGGCCCCCTGCAGTTAGCACCATCCATCAAAGCGCATAGACCCCAACTATAGTGCCTAGAATGTACTTAAAATATGACCAGATAAAGTAACAATACTACGCGCCCATCAGTTCTTTGACCGCAGCGGATACCTATTGGTGGGACGACGGAACTTCCAAGAAAAAAATGCATTGCTGTAACCACCAACACTTCGTGGGAAATGTAAATTTCCTAGCCTGAAAACGGGGCTATGGCTTGTTAGGAACTAACTGTGGAAGCGTATGCCGCGTTTTCTTTGTGCAAACGAGCTTGACATGCTAGGATCGCCGGCGTTGCCAGGGACCACGTCAATTGCTTCAGCAATGGCACATACAACTTTTTTTGTTTGGTTTTGTTCTGAAGTTGTCGTCGTGGCCACGGTCCTGGTGAAAGATATGCGGCATTGTCGCTAGGCCAACGGGCACGCGCCGTTATTACTTTACCTAGTTAAACGCCCTTTGCAAGGTAGGCCCGTGTGCTCAGATTTGGGTGCAGGTTAAAGAACCCCAGGTGGTCTAAATTTTCAGTCCTCCATTACGGCGTCTCTCATAATCATATGGTAGTTTTGAGACGTTAAACCCCATAAATCAATCAATCAACGCCCTTTGCAAAGGAGCCAAAAAGCAGCACCAAGCCCCCCCCCCCCCATCTTTCCACGGTGAAAGAAGAAAAAAGGTGGGAAGTTGGGGGGGGGGGGGAGGTGTAGCGGTTAGGAAATTCATGGTTTTGGTTCTCACCCATGCAGAGAATGCTGCTTAAGCCACCTTCGCCGCAGTACATTGGTGCCCAGCCAAAAAGCGCATAGAGACAGGGGTTGGCACTATTCACAGAACACTGCACATTTTGCTAGGTTACTCATGCCTTTATATCCTGCATAATTCTGAATACCAGTATAAGCACTGATGTCTAATTGAGCTACTGGCAATCATATGGAGCAGTGTATCACATTTCTGCTTCCTAAAAAAACTAACTAAATTGTGTACCAGGTTTTTTTTTCGCCACCCCTACTCCTTGGTTTTAGGAATCTCCCAAATTTCAAGGTCGTGAGCTTGGCAGATCCACATTTGAATTCGCAGAGTCTGTCAAATGATTTGACAGGCGCACAAAGTGCTAATATGGACTTCATTACTGTTTGCTCAGTGTAGCTCAGTGTACTCAGTGTAGCTCAGTGTAGCTCAGTGCTCAGTGTACCTGTGTAGCTCTGCCGACGTGACACCGTTGCAACCCGAAGTCATCTGTTCAGTCTTGCTTCCTTATAAATGACCAATCATGCTCGGATTCCAACACTATTGCAGAAAGCTTCAACAACTATTTCAAGTCCGTTTTCTCTCGTGATGATGGCACTATCCCAGGTTATGCTTGCAACTTTGTTCAGTCTACAATTCCAGACATCACAATCTCTTGTTCAGGTGTTCACAATTTGATACTAAAATTAGATGTGACTAAAAGTTCCGGTCCTGATGGCATTCCTAATACGTTCTTGAGGCGGTACTTCGAATGGTGCGCTCGTTACTTGACTGTCATTTTTAATAAATCGTTTGCAGTCGGCCACTGTTCCCATACTTTGGAAGACAGCTAATGTAGTCCCGTTATTTAAATCTGGCAATAAGCAGCTCATTCCAAATTATAGGCCAATTTCCCTCATTTCAACAAGCTGTAAACTACTGGAACATATCATTCATAAACATATTGTTGAGTACTTGGACGCAAACAACCTTCTGTCCCGATGTCAGCATGGCTTCCGAGCTGGATTTTCTACAACAACGCAGCTCCTAGAATTCACCCATGGCATTGCCACATCACTTAACAAAAGGGGTCAGACAGATGCAATTTTCATAGACTACTCGAAAGCTTTCGACAACGTATGCCATAAAAAACTTCTTCTAAAACTTAGTTCCTTTCTTAAAGATTCTAAATTACTCGGTTGGATTGCAGATTATTTGCGTTCTCAATCTCAGGTCGTTACTTTCAACCAGGTGCAGTCATCCCCTGTTGAAATCACATCCGGTGTGCCGCAAGGCTCTGTGCTAGGGCCTCTCTTGTTTATTATATTTATTAATGATGTTGTTAATGTCATCTCTGGAACCCCTGTAAACATATGTCTGTATGCCGATGATTGTGTACTGTATAACTGCATTACTACCTTAGTCACATAAATTTGTGCGCACTATTGTTTGTTTTTGTGCTTTCGTTGATTTTTCTGTACCCGCTCCTGCAATGTCTCAGGCATGGGACAGCAGTATTTGTAAATAAATAAATAAATAAACCGCGTACTACCAAATGGTGATGGTGGTTAGAAGAAAAAGGTGCCTAATCTCTGCTGCCCGGTAGGGAGCACGGCGCAGCGCCTAAAGCAAATGCGAACCATCACCTCGTCACGTCGATCGTACAGTGAACAAAGCGCGAGGCAGGTGTTCTCTGGCAAGGTGTTGTTGGTGCGACGGAAATTCCTCGGGCCAGTGCCAGAGCGGCTTCACGGCCAATACCGTGGGTTTCATCCAAAATATGGCGGAGCGGCTGCATTTCACGGGGGCGGTACGCGGATATTGCATGTAAAAATTTTTTCTCAATTACTTGGGTAGTCGGAAAGGATAAGGGTGGTCTTTATTTCACGCTTTATGGTATATAACATGCGTATGCAGCAGGAGCCGCTTGAAGAACAGCGGGCGCGGCAGTTGAACGCAATAAGCTCGGCGCTCTTGGTTGGTTTGATTGGAAATATAGGTCAAGATTCTTTGGTCACGAATATAGATGGATAGCTAGTTATGAAGGACATTTTCGGAAAGGAAAGGTCGACTTATATTCGAACAAATATGGTACCACCTTTAGTGGCACAGCGCCTGCCTCCTCTTTCGGTGAGCGGAAGCATAAAGGAAAGCAGGGAAGAAAGAAGGAGAGAGAAGAGGAAATTAAAAAAAAAAAGGATAAAAGTGACAATATGCACTGCTTCTTGATTTCTTGCCATGTGTGAGCAAACCTTCAATTTTCCTCACAAAGAAAGAATTAGTGTTTCTATATAGCTAGTAAGCTACCCATTTAATTCTATCATTGTTTCACATGTTACATGCTCTGTACGGTTAGGCGCACAAGTTTGACAGGGCTCAGATGATTGTTTTTTACGCATGCGCTGCTGTTTCATGGGTCGGGGGTGTGTGTGGTTCTTCAATAAACATTCAGTTGCTAGCTAGTCCAGTGCTTGTCTTGTGTGGTTGTTCTCTTTTGCTGTCTTCGTGTGGTTTCCGTCTGGTTCCTTCTTCTTATTACAATGAAATCTCGGTAGAATGAGCCCCACATTAACAAACTTTACAGATTAACAAACTTTTAAAAAATCCTGCACAGACTGCTAATAGTTTCAATGTAAAATTATTTCACTGCTACGTTTTCGAGAATACCGTATTTTTCAGTATAACAAACGTTAATATAGTTCTGCATTATATTAACAACACCTCAGTACTATGAACTCATGTTCTAAAATTTGTCGCGATCACCGGAGCGGTATGCAAGCAGACAACAAAGCAAACGGACGCCTTTTTTCTCGAAAGACAAGCGACGCTGTGGAAGGAAAAAAAAAAAAAGAACGAAAGGGCAATTTTTCTTTTTTTTGTTGTTGAAACGCAGACACTGCAGAATTCAATGTGCAGAGGCAAGGAGTGAGGGCAACACGGGAGGGCAAGGTCAGCGAGGAGGAGTGGGAGTTGCGGAGCAGGAAGCATGGGCACGGAAAACCTGAGACAGCGAAGTAGCAGAAAACAAAAAGCGAGGAATTTTTTATTTTAGTCCTTTTATTTTTCTTCGGAAGAAGCGATAACAGCCGTGATGCTTCGGGCTTCTCTTTGTCACTCTACATGTGCTCAAGGAGGCTTTGTTTGTCAGTCGAGTTCATCTGATTACTTACCGCGTCAGCAAAGCGAGTTGGCGTTCGCGCTGCGGTGCTACTACAAATGAGTTCATCTCTGCTTGCGATGAAGAAGCGGAAGCAGTTTTTGCGAAGCAAGAAACTGGATAATCTTTGGCAACTGGAAGGCAAAAAGCAGGCTGTTGTGACCAAAGAATCGAATCGCTCGCAGGAATGTAGATGAGCTGGAGGTGTTCGCTCTGCAAAGTTTGGGCTACATACGTAAAAAAAAACAAAAAACAGACTTCTTTAAGAGTAAATGTTCATTTTTTGGTGCTCACTTGTGCATTTGTTTTTTCTCGCGAAAAATGAGTTCAAGGACCCATCATTTTTAAAGTAAGTCGTTTTGGTCGGTGGAAAATAGGTATTTATGGTTAATTTTCCAGCTTTCACTATAACAACATTTCAAAATAATGAACAAACTGCCGCCGGCTCCGAGTTCATTATACTGATGTTTAACTGTGCCAACTCATCCAGAGAGTTATGTTACTGCCTACAAAACAGAATAACAGCTAAAAAACTTCTAGTAAATGTCCAAAAAAGATAGTCCAAAGGTATATAAAAAGTCTTATTGAGATGTTATTTAAACCTGAGCAGCTTGTAAACCTCCTGTAGCTGTGCT